TACTACCAATCTTACTATAGACTCATGAATATTACAGGTACAAATCTAGTCCAATGCTTTCATTTTATAGATAGGAAAAGTGGTTAAGTCACTTTCTCAAAGTCGCGAGAGCATCATCCAAAATATGTGATAATATAGGGGAATGTTATCACAATGGAAAGGTTATGGGATTTTCTTCTCCAAATTGAGAGTAGGATCCTGTTTAACAGGAATAAAAGTGATGATGAACACACATGATCTATTCATTCATATGTGTCCTCATTGAAATAATGGGACTTTTCGGAATGCGATCACCAATGTGGAAGGTAAGATGAATTTCACATGGCAGTTCGATGTGAAGGGGATGTTTAATAAAGATGCAAAAAAGCTGTCAGTGACTTAATCAGAACTCAAACACACACACACACACACACACACACACACACACACACACACACACACAGCAGTCCTGGTAAGGTATTACAACAATGAAGAATGCATTAGGTTGGACTATATATAAGTTTGGCAACAGTCAATTTTGAGCTACAATAGCGTGTCATATGGGTCAACTTAACAACACTAGTGGAAATATTATAATTTCTTGGATGGCTCCCCCATGTCTTTGAACTTGATCTTGAAAACTTAGCCAAAAGTTTTGGGCAAAAGTCTGGGAGGAAGTGGAAGAATATCAGACAGAGTGGGCAGCCTGAGCAAAGACTCACAAGCGTGTGCGGTGTATGGAGTGCAGGGAGCAGAGGGAACTGAAGGATAGAATGGTGGTCTATTTTCCAGACACTGTGATGAATTTGTTGTCCCTCAACCAGCAACGTTCCTCTTTCCATGCCTTTGGACATGTTTCCTCCTGGTTCCAACACACCCTTCTCCTTGACTTACTCCTGCCTAATCCTCAAGACTCACCTCCTCCAAGAAGTTTTCTTGGACCTCGGTGCTAACCCTGGGACTGGGCTAGCTGTCTGTCATGTGTGCTTCTTGGCCACTGTATTGTAGCGTTTCATGTCTCTGTATCACTATCTTCCCTGACAGACTGTGAGTGTACCCGACAAACTATAGTACCTGGCAGAACAGGTGCTTAATAGATTCTTGTGGAAGAACCAACTAATAAACAAGGGGTGGAGAGGGGCGGAAGTCAGAACTGATGTTGAAGCTTCAAGTACATTTTGTCTTATAAGAAAACAAGGTAACCATGCCCATGAAACGAACAGTAGTTGTGTGACTGACAGAACCATTGACTTGATTCTTCTAATACTATGTGAGATAGTTATGAAATTATGTCATGCTTTTTCACATAGGACTCTATCGATAGGGCGAAAATCGCAGTAATTGGACATTCTTTTGGAGGAGGAACAGTTGTTCAGGCTCTTAGTGAAGATCAGAGATTCAGGTAAGAGAATAAGACAAATGGGAGCAAGAGAACACAGTAAATTGCCGGAAGGGGAAGTGATCACGTTTGTGATATGTAGTTTTTTAATCAAATTCTTTGTGAAGAAGGAGTCCTTTGGAGTTTCTTCCTTTGTCTCCATTAAGTACTCTACGTAAATTTTCTTAGACATAAACCATCTACTTTTCCTGCTATTACAAACTCTCTTCACCCCCATATATTTTCCCTCATTATTCTTAGTCATCTTTTCAGGGGCTTGACATTTTTCATTTGGAAATTTCTCTTCACATACATTTTTTCTGCAACATTAATGATTGTGCTAATAATATTGCTATCTTGTAACATTACTAGACTCCCCCCCAAATGCAGGACATATTTCAAATTCGTTTTTTGTCTTCTATCTTTAAGCTGGAGTTGAATCTAAAATTACAGTTGTTTGATTAAGAGTCAGGATCATACCCCAGTTGTTTAACTTGCAGAGACACCTTCTTTCTTGAACTGCTTCATTCCATGCTGATGAGATCGTGTAGAACCAACCACACAAAAAATGAGCAAATCTTTTGTGAAACTTCACCTCGAATTTCTTAAAGTTTATTTCAATGTTGGCTGGGCTCGGTGGCTCAGCCTGTAATCCCGTGCCTTTGGGAGGCTGAGGTGAGTGGATTGCCTGAGCCCGCGGATTCGAGACCCACCTGGGCAGCGAGAACTCATCTCTACAATAAATCAAAAAAAAAAAAAATCAGCCGGGCGTGGTAGCGCATGCCTGTAATTCCGGCTACTCGGAAGGCTGAGGCGGAAGGATCGCCGGAGCCCAGGAGGCGAGGATGCGGTGACTGGGAGTGGCCACTGCACTCCAGTCTGGGCGACAGAGTGAGACTCCAACTCAAAAAAAAAAAAAAAAAAGGCCAGGAAACACAGGATAAGTTTACTTTTAAAAAGAAAGCTAGTTACGTTTCAAATGATATGATTCAAATGTTTTTCTTCAACCCCTAGATAATTTTTCAGGTGAAGCACCTCTAAATATAAGGAAATGGGCCCGACTGTTACTCTGTAACAGCTATAATAAATGCACAAAAGTTCACAAAAGGACACTGGGAACACAGGGAAATGGTGCATTCATTGTACTTTTCAGATATTTGAATTACAATATAAAAAATGAATAATAACAAAATTTTAAAATCTTTCTAAAAGTTGCAGTTTCTTTCCCTGCCACCAGTGGAGGGCGTGAGAAAAAAAAGGTTGCAATTCCTAAAGACCTTGCAAAGAAATGATTGTATAATTCCAGGTCTGCTACCTTATGAAGCTAATCACATCCCCTTCCCACAATGAAGTATAAAACCTCTTAAACCTAGTGAGATAACCCCTAGTAGCATGTGGTGTGTGGCCATCAATCCCAGCATCCTTAGGAAGTTCTCTGTGTTGGCCAGTATATAACCAGCCTTCTTTCATCATTGTTGACTTGCAGATGTGGTATTGCCCTGGATGCATGGATGTTTCCACTAGGTGATGAAGTCTATTCCAGATTTCCTCAGCCCCTCTTTTTTATCAACTCTGAACGATTCCAATATCCTGCCAATATCATAAGAATGAAAAAATGTTTCTTACCTGGTAGAGAAAGAAAAATGATTACAATCAGGTAAGTGTTAGTGACTTAGAGACAGAAACTGTTTTTTTCCTTGGTTTCCAGAATCTTTCCTGCACCCTAACTAACAAAAATAATTTTATCAAACATTGTGACTTTGCAATGTCATTTCTCCTTTAGGGGTTCAGTCCATCAGAATTTTGCTGACTTCACTTTTGCAACTGGCAAAATAATTGGATATATATTCACATTGAAGGGAGATATAGATTCAAATGTAGCTATTGATCTCAGCAACAAAGCTTCATTAGCATTCTTACAAAAGCATTTAGGTAAGAAACTAATATTTTTTCATGACATAAATGAATTTCAGGACATAAAGGTCTATTTTAATATTGCGTTAGCCCTATTATAACAGTTTCCAGTTGGTGTACGATTGAACAAAGCAGTTAGTTAATTTGAAAACAGAAATTTGGTCTAGTTAGATGGCTCAGCCTGTAATCCCAGCACTTTGGGAGGCCGAGGCGGGTGGATTGCCTGAGCCCACGGATTCGAGATCAGCTCGGGCTACTTGGCGAGTCCTCGTCTCTACAATAAATAAGTCAAAAATTAGCCAGGCATGGTCATGCCCGCCTGTAGTTCCGGCTACTTGGAAGGCTGAGGTGGAAGGATGGCCGGAGCCCAGCAGGTCGTCGCTGGGGTGGCTGTGAGCACGCCGCTGAACTCCAGCCTGGGCGACAGAGTGAGACTCCAACTAAAAAAAAACAAACAAAAAAAACCTTTGGAAGGCTGAGACAGAAGGATCACTGGAGCCCAGTAGGTCGAGGCTGCGGTGGCCGGGAGCAGCCACTGCACCAGTCTGGGTGACTGAGCGAGACTCCAACTCAAAAAAACAAAACCCCAAAACCAGAAATTTGAGAAAATTCATTTTGCTGCTTTGCATGCTATATATCATCGAAAAACTTATCTGTTAAAGCCGGTAGAGTATAAAGCCTGGGGTGGGCTTCCAATGTGAGGATACCTGCTGCAGAGTGCCTCGCTCCTATCTGTCATTTGCTAAAGCAGCCTGTAGCAACTGACGAGAGTACCTGGTCTCTACTGCCATGATACGGTTTGTGTAATTAGCAAGTGGATAGCGCCACCTAGAGGCAATAGACTGTTTAACGGTCTCAAAAGTTTAATGTGTTCATTAACATTTTATGTTTTACAGGACTTCATGAAGATTTTGATCAGTGGGACGCTCTGATTGAAGGAAATGATGCGAATCTTATCCCAGGGACCAACATTGACACAACCAACCAACAAGTGACAATACAGAACTCTACAGGAATAGAGAACCAAGATTAAAAGAGTTTTTTTAAAAAGAAGTTTTATTTCAAAACTGTCTAAAAGTGTGTGTGTGTGTGTGTGTGTGTGTGTGTGTGTGTGTGTGAGAGAGAGAGAGAGAGAGAGAGAGAGATTTTACATTTTTTCCCCAAAGAACTCATATTAAACAATACAGGTTGTGCTGTAATAGTGATTGAGCCTCAGACTATGATTTTTTTTTTCCTTTAAATGTAAAGGAACACAGTATACAAAAATCTTAAATTTTTATTTTGCTAAGATAATCATTTTCTGGTGTCAAGATTAAAAATTGCTTATGTGTTACTTTAATGGACAAGTATATTAAGACAGGCACAATACCAATGAAACCCTGTTGCAATGAACTAACAGTCCCTAAACATACAGTAAAAACAGATTTTTCTCAACTTTTATTCTCTGTTTCTGAGCAGTATAGTTGAGTTTTAACAACGTGATATTCTAGGCAGAATTTGGCAGTGCTTCCCTTTGACTTTTGGTCATGGTAGGAAAATTAGGTCAAGCTAATAATGAAGCCATTGTTTTCACACAGGATTGGTGATACTGTACAATTTCAACACTATGGCAATAGAAAGTGGACAAACATTAAGAAGACTGGAGACAAGGCAAAGACAGTGGGTTAAGGAAAGCTGGTAATGCTTTGCAATTTTAATTCTTTATCTCTGATGTATTCTACTTATTAAAGAAAGCTGTCACTGGTATTACAGTACATAGTCAAGATTCCAGCTATGACACATTAGTTATCCAAACAGTCTGTGAAGGACAACAAAGGAAACATCCAGAATTACATTTAAGTTCCTTCATTTTCCAATTAATTTTATTTGTGAATGTCTTAAATTCCATTATGTAGTAGTAAAAGTAGAATAACACAATTAAATGGAGGTAAAATGGTAGCTGAAAAATGTATACACTTAAACATCTTGGATACATGGAAAATGACTTTGTTTCCCAGGAGTAGAAAAATTTATGTATGCTACTCAGTTAAGCATATATTTTGATCTAAGTATAGTCTTATTCCTTTGAATCCTCCATCATTAAGTTTAATTTGGCCTGTGTGAACAAAGATGATCAGTATTCAGCAAGCAAGCCTGGCTAATTCTTCTATCTCTATACCTTTTGCTCAGTTGTTAGGTAACTGTATCCTGATTTGGCGCCTCAGGCCTATTTTAATGGTTTAAGGTGCAAAATCACTCATTCTGAGAAATTTGACTTCTCCTCTCCTGTAGTCAATCAGATTAATTTTTTAAAATAAAAAGTTAAGCTCAGCTTGAGACTGAAGGCTTTCTATAACTGACCCTGATGCATCTTCTCTGACCCTTTCTCCTGGTAATTCACACCATATTGTCTACATGAGTGAGTCGAACTTGTCTGTTTATTATCTCAGAAATAAGTCATATACTTCTCTACCTCAATTACTTTTCATGTAAAACCCTCTTCTTTCCACATATCAAAATTATACCCAGTTTTAAAGGTTCTTAGTTCTATTTCCATTAAGCTTCAGAGTCTGATAATGTTTCATAGACATACACCTTTTCCTCAGTCTCATTTAGCAAACCTCCTTTCTCATTTTATAAATGGATAAACCTTCCAATCATTTTGATGTCCCATTCAAGAATACTGTTTGTTTGTTTTTTTTTAACAATACTTTGTTGATGGCATGTGCTAATACTGAAAGAAGAAAATAACTGCTGAAAATATCCAATAAATTAAGACAAAAAAATAACCTAGCATAGTTAATACACACTGAGTATTTTTCAGGGAAGAAAGAAACATTAACCAAGTGCCTACTTGTTTTCAGGTACCATATGTAAATTATTTATAATATTAAAAACAGTGTAAGAAAGGTTTCATTCTCTTCATTTTCCAGATGAGGAAAATCAAGACTCAAAGATATTACATAACCTGCCCATGTCACATATCTGGTAAGCAGCATATAGCTAAGATGTTTCCAAAAGCTAGATCTATACTTTACAAAACCATGTTTAGAAGCATGCGTTTTAAAGCTAGATAGGTCTGAATTTGATCAAACCTCTGAGACTCATTACCTACCTGACCTTAGCCAGGTTACTCAACCTCCCTTAAAAGCTTCAATATTCTCACCTATAAAACATGGTTAATATTAGTATACATCTCAAGGTTAATTATTAAAATGAGAACATGTATCTAAAGTACCTGCTGAGGGCCTAATGCATCAGAGTTGACATCTAATATTCCTATGTCCCCCACCCCCCAATTAGAGGAGAGATAGAACCACAGATATTCAAGAATCCAATTTCCTTTCTAATGAATTGAGACTACCACACCTTGAAGGATACGCTTTATTAAAATCTTGTGTTACATTAGAGTACATCCAAATTCAAACAGAATAGTGGTCAAATGTTTAACAAGACAGGCAAAGCATCTAAATCAAAACAAAAATTCCGAAGAAGTTACTACTGACAAGCTATTCTCCTAGGTAGCATCAGATAATGTCCTTGTCATAAGTCTCTATTTTTCTATTTTCATTTAAACACTATACCTGAAAGATACCAAAATAGTTTTTTTTGAAATGTGAGTAATGCATTAGCAAACTGTTTAGCAAGATAAATCTTCTCAGCTGATTAGAAACACAAGACAATAAAAGGTAAAGATCCTAGATCTATATATACAGTGATAAATACCACTATAAAGACACTGCACATTTTGTTTTCCATCTACATCAAAGTTTTCAAAAATGACAACTTCTTGTGCTTACATGTTTTCAATTTCCCTGAGTATTCTGTTGGTTTGGGTAAGGTGCCACTTGTTCAAGAGCAGCTTCTGACAGCCACATTGATGGGTCCACAGCTAACTCTATATCACCTTCAGACCCACTTTTCTGAAACAAGAAAAGGAAAACCTCAAGTTGTGAAAGAAACATGAAAACAAAAAATATTATGCACATGGGTGCTACTACAACAAATTTAGTATCCCCTAAAATGGGGAGGGAGGTCAGATGAGTATTCTAATTATGACAGAGAATTATTCCTATACAAATAATGTTTTTTCCTTCTTTTTAGTATTTTGGCTCTCACACTGTGCCATCAAATAAAATTTCTCTAAAGGAGGAATTATGAAATTGGAATATTGTATATTTTGCTAGAATGATGTTAACAAGGCTGATAGTCAACTAGTTCTTTGTTCTCTTAATTAGTATGTATTTTGCACATAATACTAAAACCACCAAGAGCAAATTTTATTCTCGGTGTACCTCAATTCTAAGAACCAATGTGCTATTTGTGAACAAGTATGTGCAATAACTAAGAACACCCAACAAATTCAGTCTTATGTAGATAAACTAAAAATGCAGAAAGAAATTCCAGATTACTTAACAAAGATAATTTTAACATAAGAAAATCCTTTAAAATATGCATTTATCAAACTCATAATTTACTTTCAAGATCAAGTCAATCAATAAACAAAATTCCTAAGATATTTCCAAAAGTCTTCCTCTTTGTTATTTTCATGAGCATATTTAAACAGTTTTAAGAAGTGGGTTTTTTCTCTACTACTAATGTCCAAAGAAATTGATCATTTTTGTTTGAGGGATTCAGCATAATAGTATCTTTAAGACTTGAACTTGGCAATGATGGGTCATAAAAGTATTTTGTTTTAAAAACACAAGTTAATTTTCATTGTGGTATCATCCCTGATATGAAGTAAAGATCTTTTCCCACTGTTTGAAATACAGCCTAACAAAGGGAATCTTTGAATTACATCAATTTTTAAAGTACAACATAGTTTAAATCATAAATGGGACTCATAAACCAGAAAAGGTGTAAACAACAAAAAATATTCCTATTGAAATTATGGCAATCTGATTTTAGAGTGAAGAATCACCTGAAATACATTTTCTATTCTTCAAATACTCGTTTCTCTAGAACATACCCAGTGGAGCAGTCCACACAGGGAATAAGGTGCCCTTTCCCAATGTTTAGCTCCCAAACTGTTTAACAACTCTGGTGTTTGGTAAAGGAGGAAAAGACATCATTGTTCAAGGGGCTGATATTCAAACACATTATCCATGATGAGCCACAGATGCTTTATTAAAGATAATGAAGGGGGATGTATGTCTCCTATATTCCCTTCTTTTTATTTTTTATTTTTTATTTTTGAGTCTCACTCTGTCGCTCAGACTGCAGTGCAGTGGCTGCTCCCGGTCACCTCAGCCCCGACCTGCTGGGCTCCTGCAATCCTTCCGCCTCAGCCTTCCAAGTAGCTGGAACTATAGGTGAACTATAGGTGGAACTATAGGTGTACGCTACCATGCTTGGCTAATTTTTGATTTATTGTAGAGATGAAGTCTCACCAAGTTGCCCAGGCCAGTTTTGAACCCGCGGGCTCAGGCAATCCACTCACCTCAGCCTCCCAAACTGTGGGATTACAGGCTGAGCCACCGAGCCTGGCTCTATATTCCTTTCAATAACTAATAGCATCATGTGCATGTGTGATGTGATACATAAACTAATAAATGAGTCATATTCTTATGGTAAAATGAAATAGCTCAGATAAAACACAAATCCTAGAAAAAGTAATTAGAAAGACTCCCAGATCATAGTGGCTTGATATATCATAAAAAGTCATGCATAATACAATATTCACTTTTTAAGCAAAACTAGCTTATTTGTAGATGTGCATCCTTTTCTGGGTGCTTCTTCAAATTTGAGGAAAAGATCTTTAAATTCCAAATCCCATTAGTAACCAAATCAAAAAGTTTAGAGCCTTATTCATAATCGGTTTCCATATGTCTGCTAATTGGCTTAGTTAAAGCCAGAGGTAAATATATACATACACACACACATATATACATATATGTGTGTATATATATTTATATTTATATACACACACACCCACACACATAGAGAGACACACACACACACACACACTATTATGTCCACTGTGAGTAATCCTAAATAGTTATTTTCTATTTGGCAGGTATAGGGTACTTTATCCAAATAGAATCCTGTCTGAATATATGTATGCATTTGGCTGTGGAGTCTTCAAAATTAATGAATGGAGACAATAAGAAAGTTAAAAAGTTTTAGTAAATACTGATGCAAAAAAGCATAGCAGCCCATTTTTTTTTTTTTACAAGTAAACAAAAAAGTAATTAATAAAGAATGTGAAGAAGGCTGGGCATGGTGGCTCACGCCTATAATCCCAGCACTTTGGGAGGCTGAGGTGAGAGGACTGCCTGAGCCTGCA